AAAAACGGCAAACTTCGCAAGGCTATATTATCCGCATTTTACAAGATTTTGCAACGAAATTTTGGAATATTACTAATTTTGCGATGCTCTTTCAAGCTGTGATGAAATTTTTGTCTAGATCGAAATTTTAGTTATAAGGGGAAAGGTCCATTTCCACGAGTGTTGATATAACTGTATATCAATACGGATGAAATGTTTTATATTTTTTTATAATATTGCACAAAGAAATATAAAGAAAGAAATTTTCCGTGTTGATATTGAGTTATATGAACACGGATACACGGCTGTTAGCCAATCAGCGATCAGAATTTGCAAATGCTATATTATAATCTATATTACTACTACTTCACAAGTTCAGCTTAATTTAAACTGGCCGTTGCTCTATTGGATCTCGGTATACTTGATACTTTTACTACGAGAAAAATGGTCCTGCAATCACGCCTATAGTATAACCAATGAAAGCGCAATTGGTCTCACTATACTCATCATATGCATGTGAATCGAACACCGCACATTTTCGAAAAAACCCTGATTTAGCAATAAACAATAAGGAATAGAAAATTCCAGCATTATATATTTGTTATAGGCTTTTATATAGTTATATCGACAGCTATATTTATAAATTACCGGTTAACTGACGATCTACAATTCTAGATAATGTAAAAAAATCGTTAATTGGACAATAACACTTGTCAAAGACGACCAAAATGGTATTAAAGTCCCGACGAAGAACGACAGCAGCCTTTGAAAAACTTACAAGTGTGTATTTTCCTAAATTCCACGAGAAAGCACACTATATATATTATTCATAATATACATGAAGAAATTATGCAGAAACAAATTGTGGTAACGTGTATGCATGAACCACATGAGATATAAATGATTTACTCATTCATTGGAATGACACAACAATTTCATACAAGTTTTCAACTGTCAAAATTTAAACCAATTTTCAAGCGACACTGTTTCTCAGTAAAATTGCAGGACTCTTAATCAATCAGAATTAAGTAATTTTTTCATGTATATTGTCACTATTGCATGGTGGTAGTATTAGTTGTAGTACAGCATTGTGTTATATGATAGCTATTATCATGTATATACATGATATATTATACATTAATACTTTTACCATATATATAAAAGTTCCTCTCTGAACAATATTTAAGGGAGAGCACAACTCTAATACATTATTCATATATAGGCCTCCCCGCCTCACATGATTCATAAGGCCTCAGCGCCTAACGTGAATATAATTTTGGAAAGTTATTATAAAGAAGATTGTTAAGGAAGGATTATTACAAGTTATACAAGTTATATACGAAAGAGGTATTGAAGTTAAAAAGCGAAGTTACGCGAAGAAGACGAAAACAAAAGAGTTGTGCTCAGTCAAACAGAAAAGAGATAAGTTGAACAGTAGTATTAAGAATTATATTATATATTAAATAAAGGAAAGTTATAAAGACGCTAATTATTGAGTAATATATAAGTAAGAAAATAAATATATCATTGAAAGTAGTTGGTTTCACAATCTTTGTTGCGAGCAAATAGAACCAAAAGCGCGGCCAAATAAAATAGTAAGGACCGGCTCGTAACAAATTGTCAATTCTCATAGCAACATTAATTTCTGCATGCATTTTTTCCAGATATCATTTACTTGGTAGTATGTTCTACTACACGTTTTCTTCTTCGTTTGGTTCATGTAGTTCTTCTGTCGGTGTGAAGAGCTTGTTATATACTATGAGAAAAATGGTACCTAGGACCACGCCTACTATAACCAACGACAGCACAATTGGTCTCAGAACACTCATATGTTTCACATCAGGTATTGGTATTGTCACCGCCAAGATTGCGAACAAAACGCTCTGTACGGATATTAAACTGTCGAGTACAAACTGGGCAGTGCGTGGACTAGAAAATTCTTTGGTGAACATATTCGGAACGTGTAACATCAACAAAATGTTGACAACAGTGCCGGCTACAGCCGAACGTACAACGTCATCACACTTGCATTTATTACCCCATGATAACCAAACATACACCATCAGAAAACGAACCGCCAGTGCTGTGAACAAATGTTCCTTAAAGACGTATGCGAATGCTGCAATTGCTAAAAGTCTGGATAGCAAATTAAACAATTGAGAAGTGAAAAATACAACCGTGACTGGCAGTGTGAAATTATGGCTATTTTTATTTGCTCTCGCTTTCTCAAGAGCGGTAATACTCCATGCTAAGGAAAGCAGGGAAATCCCGGTTGATAGCACGGTTAACCATGGAAAATCCCACTGACGTAACATGATGTAAACCTGTAGACACCATTGTGGAGCAGACTCTGTAAGTGTCTCTACATAACGTACCCGCGCGAGGCTGTATGCTGACTTGTTAGACGTCGTGATTGCCACGCGGTACTGTTCGCAATCTGGACAATTGCATTCCTTATAGTTGTCTCCACAAGGGGGATTATCCCAATGTGTTTGCTTCCAATAGTTGATCTCTTGGACATAACGCACAAATATGGACGAACATACAAACATGGAACAAAAGCTTAGTAATTCCCAAGAACTATCATCTGATTGACCGAGAGCCATAAAATTGACGATGAAAAGAGGAACGATAATAAAAAGTAACGTGAAACCAAACCACCAATATTCGCCTTTATGCCCATACCGTGTTGCTAAAACGATGTCTGTGACCAGATCAAATATAAACAACACGGCGCCTGTGATCAGCATGAATAATTCCCTCTTTCCTCTCATGTTGACCTATCGAATGAAAAAAATTTTCTCGCTATTGCATTTGGGTCTTCGCATAGGCTAGCAGATGTCAACCAACTACTCGATCAACTTTAGAATTTAAGATTAGAAATCTAGTATAGCAGATGATGGTACGTCATTTTCAGAAATGCGGTTGACATTCATAGATACATGTATATACATGTATATCTGAGATATATGCATATCTCAATTCGGCCTAGAATACAGTTGGTGCTAACTGAGTGAAAAGTTCTTACCAGATATATAAAAATATATAGAGATTTCAGCCTGTTGAAAATTTGACACATTTTTACAAGTCAGTTCTGTATACACTTCAATAAAAGCTACGCAATAAGTTCTTTGAATGTTTGCATGGCAAGGCGAAAAATATAATTGTTTTTGTTTGTAGAAACACCACGTAAATTTATTACTGCCAAGCTTTCGATCCGTAAGCCCGGATCTTCATCAGTGCCAATAATATGTGACTTGTTTAATTCACACGCTCTTTTTATATACAAGAGTGTCGTGATCTGTTGGCGCGCGTCATTTGAAATTTAATTAAACGGCACATCAACCACGTCATTTCAAAACGTAGTGAAGTGATTCCAATTAACGCGCGCGCATCCAAGACAAGAGAAATTAACTTTGCACATTAAAGAGAGCACGCCACGTACTATCTAGTGGCTTTCCCTCCTGATCTATAGCATTGTGCTTCTCGATTTCAATTGACTCTCTCATTTTGCGAGAGAACTTACGACTATCAATCGCCAAAATGGTTCCTTCGTCCCATTTTATACGATGGTCGTAAGTCCAAGTATGTTTAGCCACAGCAGATTTATCTTGCTCGGCTTTCTCGCGATTCGTCTTGTGTTTCTTAAGACGTACTGAGAGATTTCGACCAGTTTCACCAATGTAAACCAGACCACATTCACAAGGAATGCGGTACACAACAGGTTTCTGAGATTCATTTACGTTGTCCTTATGTGTGCAAAGAGCGTGTGAATTAAACAAGTCACATATTATTAGCACTGATGAAGATCCGGGCTTACGGATCGAAAGCTTTGCAGTAATAAATTTACGTGGTGTTTCCACAAACAAAAACAGTTAAAAGCTACGCAGTTTGATTTTCAATACATATAGAAATATCTAGCTGTGTTTCTGAGAGGAATTTAATTATTACCATTTGAATTCAAGCGTTAGACCGCGGAGTCAGGATAAAACGCGGTGAAAGAGGGGATGAATAAACCCCGGATGGGGGGGGGGGTAAACGTGAAATGACGTTGAGCGTCAGGTGGTTATAGGGGATAAACGACGTTATAAGAAATCTTGTGAATAGTGATATACAAGCGTTAACCGATTTTGTCTATCTGCTGGAGTCTGTGTTTGATCAACTGTCTGACAAAGGGAACAAATTTCGAAACTCGAACGAAGTTATGCCAGCGTGGGTCGGAAAAAATATGTGCTTTTATTCATCCCTAGCAAAGTGACGTCACAACACATAATTCGACACAATTGTTTGACTTCCGCCCGTTGTGGGGACAATTGTTCAGAGCTATATATTTTGTTTGATCTCTGATTCTACTAAAACAATTACATTTGGCTCGCTGCCGATTTTTATTAGGTGATAGTTGATTCTGGCTTCGTCCTCGGCCCTCATCAACTGTTACCTCATAGATGGTGAGCCAAGGTTACGTTATTTACTAGTTCTGTGTGTTACATGTGTACTGCTAACTGCAAGTCTCGACATATTTTGTTGTTATTATTATTAAGAACTGCATTTCTGTATATGTGTGTGTTTTGTGGCAGCTTGTAGAATATGTGATTTGGTGTGTATGCGTTTCAAGCCTATACTCAGAAAAATTCTGAGCCCTAAAATCTACAGAAATGCAGTTCTTAATAATAACATCAACAAAACATGTCGAGACTTGTAGTTAGCAGTACACTCCGGAACTAGTAAATAACGTAACCTTGGCTCACCATCTGATGCCTTATAGCTCAATGGTTAGAGTATCTGTCCGGTTATCAGAAGGTTACGTGGTTCAATTCCCGTTGGGGCTCAGAATTTTTCTGAGTATAGGCTTGATACGCATACACACCAAATCACATATTCTACAAGCTGCCACAAAAACATATGTATATATATAATGAACAATTACCCAGCTGCGGTAAATATCACGGTCCGTACACCAAGATTTCAACCGGTTGCAAACTTGACACATTTCTACAAGTCAGTTCGGTACATACATCAATAAAAGCACTCGCAAGGGAATCCTAAATAACATGAATAAAATTCAAAACAAACAAGTCTTTGAAAGATTACAAGATGGCTGATCTAATATACTAACAAATTTCAAAAGTTGAGTTAGGTTTGGCACATGAGTGGAGCGGCGTATAATGGGCGACTGTCTCTTCTGAACTACGAAGAAGATACGTCCTATTATGGGGTCTGAAGTTATTATGTTTAGCGAAAGGTATAGCCAGTTTATAATTTATTCAGAAAATTAAGTCATTTGATTATAATTATACGATCTGGCTTTCAAAGGCCATAAATCGCTACGATGTTGATATTGACTAAAAATATCGTCAGGAATTAGGAGATATTGTTTTACTGAATCGAATGGTGGTAAGTTGCGACAAATTTTGTGGAATATGAATAAATAAATAAACAAAACTAACAAGTCACCTTTTTCTGCTGAAAGCAATTATACACGATCTGAAGATGGGAATTTCGTCGCAATACAATATGAAACTCTAACACTCGCACGAATTAACGCTAGGAGATTTCATTTTGAATGTTTAATTCTCTTCGAAAGAGCACCAAACTGTGTTGATGAGGTCGCGTGCGAGCGCTGTGACGTCTGTGGTGACGTGCTTGTAATTTTCGAAAACAGGAAATGGATAAATACCGATTTGACGGGATGTGGAAAACGCGGAGATATGGTTATGCTTGTTTAAACTTCAGTATATTTAGTATCAGTATATTTGATTTATGTTTAAACTTCAGTTCAGTTATTACCTAATTAAAAAATTTATTGAGACAGTATTGTATACAATATAGTATAATAACGTGAAATTGTTACGTGATAGGTGACAGTTTTCGATGTAGTTTTCTCTATAAAAGATTCTTATGTTAATCTTGACAGCACTTGATTCTGTATATCCGCATGCTTGTATATCCGCAACCCCACCTTCATCTCAACTTCAAGATTTCTGGTTGGAAGGACGGTTTCATACACTGGGTGCCAGAGGTTCTTCCACCCTCGTAGGGGGGAATAATGAGGGATACACGAGGATTCAAGCTGGGAGGCGGCGAGCGGGAAGAACCTCTGGAACACTTCTATGGTTTCTCAGATCGAACCGCACCAATCACGATGCTTAATAGCGTGAAGTGATCCAGAATCTGGATCACAGTCTCTGGATCACAGTGTTAATTGGTTAACGGCAGGGACTTGTTAAAACAATGACTTTCATTGGCTGTTTGAACCGTATGTCCTTCAAGATATTATCGTTCAGAATCCGTACAGGCATACGCTGTTGTTTACAATAATAATATTATACTTATAACATAGTCAGGCGTAAATATATATGCCTCTAGTTTTGCGAGTCTTGCGAGAGGATTTCCACAACTCGGTCGCGGTTGATTCGATTTTGAATTTTTTTACTGGACGGTGTTACAAAACTCAATAAACATCAAGATGATGCCTTGTTTCTGTGTTTCAGTTAATGCATCGAGGAATTTCGTGTGCGTGGCTGTCTAGTAATCAAGCATGTCAAGACAAGATGGGAGTCTTTATAGGCCTATTTATATCGAGACGAATTACCCGGCAAGTCGAGTTTATACTCGTCAACGACAAGATCCCGGCTATATTATAGAAACTTATACTGTAGTAAACCCGGGGGGGCTGTTTACATGTAGTAAAGAGTTCCCGGCAGAAAGAGGCGAGATGAATAGTTACCATATTAAACAAAAGATGTTCGAGTATTTGTTAACTCGGCCGCCCGAGATCGAATGTATATATGTGTATAAATGTATGTGCTTTGCATTTGAAATATCACTTAAATACATACGAATCATTAGATAAGTTTTATTCGCCAATTGCAGAGTAACTCGCCTCCGTATAAACAGGGCCTTGGACGGCAAATATTCGTTTGTATTATGTGATGAACAAGAAATGCTTCAAAGTTCAATAGTACCGAGGCGACGATCCTTTTACTGTAAAAACTAAAATACCCACTGCAGACGGCATTCAGGCCAACTCTCTCGATTTTACCGGGAGTCTCCGGCCGAAAATTAATGCAATCTCCTGGTCTCCCGATTTATATCAAATTCTCCCGATTTTTCAGAATATTCAGGAAATGTCGTTAAAAATCATAAACATACTGTTTTTAGCAACATAATAGCCCGTCTTGACCTTTTTATGATTTTACTTTATGGAAATTTATAGGATCACTTATAATATAATAATAATAAAAAACATTTATATAGCGCACAAACCAAGACTGTTCTAGGCGCTTATAACAACATACTTCCAAAATGCAGGAAACGCCATTTCAGAAGACTTAATGTTTATTATTTTTTCCCAGAAGAACTTAAGATTTCATTCACTGAACAGTCTCCCTAAATTTTACCTTCAGTAGTTGGAATGTCTTGCACTGTGAATAACAAATTCACCATAAACTCGACAATACTCGTCTCCGCTTTTTTTAAACACTTTTAACAGATGTATATGGTATAATGCCATGTGGCCATATAATATTATTCGCGGGTTTATTTTACTATAAAGACTCGCTAATTTTAATTTTTTGTTTTGAAATTGACACATTCTGTCGCAATTTCCATCGCTCAAATGTTCGGTTGAATACGCCCAAATCATCATCAGTCAAAAATAAAAAATACGTGTCCTATTGGCTAACGTTTGATTGACATGTGACAGTTAAACCACTAAAAGCCATAGAAGTGTTCCAGAGGTTCTTCCCCAAATGATACCTGTTTTAAGACCGTTAGTGAAGCCATTTTGCTCTTATTACGCGTAATAAGGTAATAAGCATTGAAACTAGCTATGTAGGCAAAGTGACCAAAGTAATAGGGTATACCATGCCCACTATAAGACCGGTATATTGCGTTTTTTGTCTTATTACTCGTAATTGCGTAATAAGTGTTGAAGTTGCATGGGCAGGTTGGACAGGTAAAAACACGGTTCTGAGGTTTATCATAATTGCAAAATGTATGCAATGCACATGTTATATTCCTGGTGAATTAAGCACATGGCATAGACCAGCAACAAGTTAATAAGGTAATAAGCATGCAAGGGGATAAGCACACATAAGCAAGCAATAAGGTAACAATGCAAGGTAATAAGGTAATAAGCATGCAAGGGAAGAAGCACACATAAGCAAGCAATAAGGTAATAGGGTAATAAGGTAATAAGCATGCAAGGGAATAAGCACACATAAGCAAGCAATAAGGTAACAAGGTAATAAGGCAATAAGATCATATTGAACAAGCGAAAAGATTAATGAGAAGCATATATGAACACAAAAAACGTTTACCGAAATTTTCAAAAAGAAATCAACGTAAAGTACTTGCAACAATAACTTGTAATAATCAAACGACACGCAAGTCATGCATATAGCACGTTTCAACTCCTGCATATGAAGTGTAAGATATTTATGTTCAGCTGTATATTGTAAATAAACCACTTTATCAATCGTTTTCACATGACACCATTGTATTTAACGTTTCGTATATTTTGATACCTCGCAGTTTAAAACATGCCTGAATGGATGAATTCCGGCATGTCGTTTGATCAGATTTATGATTGAATTGTAGAAAAAAGAAAAAATGACTCATATAGTAAAATACTTTGTCAAACTATCTTGACTTGTTTCTTTCTTGAGATATTCAAGAATGTTCGATGCTCAAATTCTCCAAACTATGACGTCAAATTGCATAAAGGCTTTGTGAAATTTAAATGTTACGAATCTAAAAAGATAACTGCATGATTCGAATCTGTCGTCATATAGTATATATATTTGTAGCATGTTGACCTAACACACACCCACGGTTTTACGATTTCGATGAACGATATAGCAATATCTTGCAGTTTGTTTTTCTTTGGGGGAAGTCGTTATGTAATGTGACGTCATAATGAAGATAATTCGCATATCAAACCTAAGGGGGGCAAAGTTTGGCAAATTTCCTGGGACACCGGTTTTCCACTATTAAGAAAAGCAATTTCGTGGCACCCACCTGGGGAATAATTTTATGTGGTACAATGCATAGTACCATAGACGAAAAACCTGGCCAATACCGAGAAAATGAGTGGTCAGCGATGTAATATAGTACTCCTTCCATGCATAAACACATGTCTAGCTTCTATCTTACAAGTGCGCATGCTCCTAAAGCATGTTGTAACTATTACGTCATTACATCCCTTTAAACCTTTAGTTTTTGCATTCACTATAACTGTTTGTGATTAACTAATATCAACCTGAAAGTTCCTATAATGTCTTATTTTAAAGTTCATTTATGATGACTTCTTAGACAATTAAAGTTCATTTTAAATGTTTTACTGATCTGACTGTTTATAGCCAAAGTAGGCTGCCGGTTTTGTTTTCCTTTTCGGGCGTTCATTGGTGTTCTGCTTGCTCGGCTGTTCTTCTTTATCTGCTGGGTTATCTGTTTCACCTTTCTTTTCTTTAAACTTTTTAAAATGTGACGAGTTCCGAGTGACTTGGCGATTGTCATTTGACGCTGTAATCATCGATCTAGCTTTCTTCTTAACAATTTGGTATTTCTGATGTTCATAAGGGGTCTGCAATTTACCTTTCTTTGAGTTTCTCAGCAGGACTGCATCACCGACTTTGAATTCAGAGGATTTGGCTTTGTTTCGTTTGTCAAAGTGGACCTTGTTCTTTTGTCTTGACTTACATGATGCATCAAGTGCTTGTTGATGGTTTGGGTCAGCTGATGCTACAGTTTGTGACTGGGGTAACTTGACATTTATGGCACGATTGAATAGCAAGGTTGCAGGAGCCTGGTGGGTTACACTATGGGGCGTAGCTCGGTAGTTTCTGAGGAAGGTAAACAAGTTTTGTTTCCAAGACCTGCCTTCAACTTTGGCAGTTCTAGCTGTTTTCTTTAACGTTCTCATAAATCGTTCGGCTTCTCCGTTTGCCTGAGGCCAATAGGGCGTTATACGCTAATGTTGGAAACCAAGATAATTAGCAAACTGTTTGAATTCTGTACTATTAAATGGGGCGCCATTGTCCGATTTAACTGTTCTGGGAATTCCGTGAGTAGCAAAGATTTTGTCAAGACAGGGAATAACAGTTGTATGGGCTACTGTTCTAATAATATCTACTTCGGGGTATCGTGAGTAGTCATTAATCAGTACAAGTAAGTACTCACCACTGGGAAACGGGCCGCAAAAATCAATTGATACACTTTCCCATGGATTCTTGCTAGCTTCAGGCATACGTAATGGTGCAATGTTGCTTGTGCTTGTTGTAATTTGGCAAGCTAAGCAGCAGCTAACCTTTTCTTCCACTTGTTTATCAATGGTCGGAAACCAGACCTTCTCACGTAAGAGTTGTTTTGTCCGTGATATGCCTTGATGGCCTTCGTGTGCGAGGTCTATCACATGGTTTTGAAGTTTACTTGGTATGACTATACGGGTACCACGTAGGAGGAGACTTTGATCACTGTTAACTGACAGTTCGTCTTGGATGTGAAAAAAACATTCTACCGACTTGCGATCAACACGAGGTTGGAGTTTCGCATTATGCCACTGTTTGGTTTGAATTGCTTGAATGACAGCTTGAAGTGTGGTATCGGCTTTTGTGGCTTCTTTGATTTCTTCCAGCGTAAGGGCCTTGGGAACAGCATGCATTGAAACGAAATTAACATATTCTTCAGCGCATCTCTCCTCATGGCAGGTGATGATGGCAACGGATGGCGGGACATAAAGTCGGCTGGATTGTCAGAACCGGGTTGATACTGAACATTGAAACAATATGGTTGTACCTTTAATAACCATCGTTCAATACGAGCAGGTGGTTTGCTTTGTGGGTCGTTGAAAAGACGTTCCAGTGGCTTGTGATCAGTAATAACAGAGAATTGGATACCATA